TGATATAAGTCATTATAATAATTACGCCAAAAATCTCACGCAGAAGCGAACCAACACTTTTTTTCGTAACATTTCAACGTATTCCTTGTATTACGATCGTTTTTCTTAACAATGTTCCTTTCTCATGTCAGCGACAATTGTATTTCATCCGAATATCGCGCGCTGCACTGAATATTTTCACTCCAAAAAAAGCCAGACGAAAGAAAATTATTATTTGTAACCTGCCATCATGGCAATGCCATGTGAAGAAATATGTGACTCAAATGATATTGACCGTTATTGTTCTCTTTCTTTTTACAATTATACCTGCTTTTAGAATTTTCTGCCGCGATTGGGCAACTGAACCTCGGTGGATGCATCGGCGCAGCCCTGCAATTTCACACTGGAAAAAGTTTAATTACTCCTGGTGCTGAGGACATATCCTGGTGTAAACACACTATCTGCGCGTTGGTGTACAAGCGAGAGACAGCTCTGCTCTCAGCTAAATTCTTTCATGAAGGGAACGCGGCAAAGCCGAGACGTAATGTTCGCATTCACTTGGTCGCCGGATGTCGTTCCACTTGCTCTCTCTTCCTCTCTTTATCTCTCTCCCTCTCTTCCCGCCTTCGTTTTTCTTTCTTTTTTTTTTTTTTTTATTATTTTACTCTCAGTCCGCGAGGCGGAGTTTAAATTGGTCCGCTTTCCGCCGGCAATCAAAGTCTAATCAAACTTTAACGAGTATCACGAATGCTCCCTAGATACCCGTCAAGCCGAGAATTCCAACTATCTCTGTCTTCTGCAGGATAACAGCGGATTTACGGCTCTTTTAAAAATTTCAACGGATCGGCACCGACGATAGTCGATCTAGGAAGCCGACATATTGAGATTAAACATGACAAGTCGCTTCTTCTTGTCGGTTTCTCTTGTGTATATATACATATATGTAATTGGAATTGCTCGCGTCGGTTTGCATATATTTTATCAGCTCGTTTCGATTAATAATTCGATGACTTTTTCTTTTCACTCGGCTGTCTAATCGGTTATTATATATTAACCAAGCAGAAACGCTATCCAGATTTTACTACCGACAGTTCGCAAGGAGCAATCTATCAATTTCTTATTAACAAACTTCGGTCGTTATGCCCGCGAGATGAAATTTTATGTATTTAATGCCATGCGTCTTAAACATCTTTTTTCAGCAGCCCTTAAGAAGCGCTTCTCTTAGGTACATATCCTCTCGCTCAATAATATTTGCATAATGGACTTTCGCAGAGAATTTATTCGCTTGCAATTTACGCAAGCACGCGATGCTTTTGATGAATATACTGTCAAGGCTAACTTTAAAATACGCATTTATTTATTTATACGAACAGTTAAAACCTCAATTTGAAATGTACTAATATTATCTCTTAGTATACATGATGAAGTTATTTATATTCGTGTCCTGCGCATTTCTTTCCTTCGAAATACTAGGAGCACTTGGCTAAGTAATAGTGTTATTTTCTTTTGTTTTTTTTTAATGCATATAACTGTACAAATACTTTCTAAAGATATTAAAATATATGTATAAAGAATCACTTAATAAATTTGTAGACCGTTATAAACGCAATGAAAATTAATTTAAACATGAACACTCCATCATATGTATTAAAGGTTATATATGTAATTAACCGTTCAATCTAAACATATTTGTTATAGATGCTGTTTAAATGTATAGCAGTAAAAGACTGAATATTATAAAACGCGAATAAATGCTGAATTAAATACAAAATAATACGAAATATTAAAACTGAGAAAAGGAATATTTTTGTTCTATCATTTTCTTTATTACTTTAATGTAATTTTGTGTTCCACATTTATGTAGAAATAGAATGTCTTAAAATCTCGACTAATAATAATCTTAAATTTCGCTATTTCTCGTTGCAGCCCGCAACATTCACGCGGAACAGCCGTTAACTAAGCGTAAGATACGTAAAATAGAATTTGCTCAAACAGAAGCATTAATTTACCGAGCGGATGCTCTAGTACATACCATTTCCTTTATACGCGTAATCATGTAACAATTAACTTGAAGAACAAATTATAGAATACAATTACTTTATGTACACAAAATGCATTTCAATCCAATGTCCACATAATAAGTATCATAAATTTAAGAGAAAAAGTATTAAAATTATTTTCACATAAATTCTAAGAAAAAGAATTAAAGTGCCATACTTTAAGATGCTAGAATGGCTAAATAGAGGTTATAATTAAGATAAATGTTCCAGTGTGACCGGACATGTACTTATGGCTGGACACTTACACGACATTTATTATTATTAATCAAATGCTTTTGTATTATATATTATAATTTAATTATATTTCAAGATTGTAATTAAATTATAATGTTATATTTACAAAACATTTAAAATTAATAATAATATAAACAAATAAAGTTTTGTATAAATGTCCGGATATTATAGGTACGTGACTGGTTAGTGGGACGTTTATCTTATTAATTGACAAATATTATGATTTATATGTAATGTTTTCTTTAAATGATCGATAATTAATAAATAAATACGTCGTGTATATATGTGTGTGTGTATATATATATATATATATGTATATATAAAATTATATATATTAGAATAACTACGCAAAAAGACAACATATTATATCTCTCTTAACTATGTACTAAACAATAAACTAAGAAAATGATTAAGCCTCAAAGGCTTTAATGAACATGCCTAGTCTAGGAGCAATCTCGTTTACACTATTTCATTCCTTTAAAATCTTGAATGGTCCGTGGTCTTCTAGCACTAAATGAGCTTCAAAAGGCGCATCACCGCTGTCTTTTCGTGTTTTTAACTGAGCTGCAAAAAGCTCGTCGCTTCAGAAATTACCGCTCGTTTAAACTTTAGTTATCATGAGCAACATAATAGCAAAATACAGAACTTGTATTTGCAGTGTCCGCTATTGTTAAGGAGATTGCTGCAACGATGTAAAATAACAATATTTTCGTATGTTTCATGTATGAATAATACCGCACACTCTCTGATCAATTGTAATTTTTTTGTATTTTTTATTCTGCTATATTGCATATCTACTCTTAAGAGTTGAATCTAATTCTAAAAAGTAACAAAGAGTTACAATTAAATCAGTGTTAAGAAAGAGTGGTAGTTAGTTGTCAATTTTTAAGAGTGAAATTTCACTCTTTAGAGTTAGATTCCACTCCAAAGATTTTTCGAGAGTAAACAGGTCGAAACACAATGCATTTTGTATTAAGGAATTTGCATAGCATGATTTTGCCTGAAAAAATCAAGCGAAATAGATATGATACATAAAGGAATTAGAGGAAACGCGGAGTCGACAGGACATAGTCTCCGATGCTCACGTACATGAACCGGTTTATATTTAGGGGTGACACGAGCTGGCTCGAGATAACCCGGAGGAAGGATGGACTTGCGCGAATGTTCTTGTAGGAAGGGGTAGTTTTACGGGTGTATGCGCGCGGCAGGGTGTGCGTTAATTGATGTAATTATATCTTCCTTGCGGCAAGATACGCTCGCTTCGCGCGCTTGTATGCAAAGAGAGATACGCATACGCGTGCATGCAGAAAACGGCGGGTCAGCAGGATGTAGGTGTTCGTATATGCGATATATTACACCGATGCGACAGGACATTTATGTAGAAGGGTTGAACTGCAATCGAGTCCCCCCTAGTAATAACATACTTTCGTTGATTATTATTATGCTTATTAAACCGGCCACTTGATATTGATAGCTCTTATTTTCTTGATCATCAGTAATTACAGCAAAAAAAGAGAAGGGAAAGATAAAATATAAAGAGAATACTGTTCTACGTTCTTTCAGAATAGAATACTCGAATATACAAATAGCTTCGTAATTGTAAGGTAAATATAATGGATATAGACCCAATTATTAGATGAAATGATTATAGCTCGTCTTATCAAATTTTTATAGACAATGAATTTATTTAGAGGTATATTTATATATATATATATATATAGAATCTCAATATTTAAATTTATTTTCATTTCGTCTAATTATTGGTACATTTACCTTATACACTTTTATGTTCTATCCAGATTGCTATGCCGTGTGTATTCTAATTAATATTAAGGATCAATATTATAGTCAACATAAATAACTGTATATGCTCCAAAAAATATTTTATTTAAGATAATTTTCAGACGTCTTTTCAGAATCTTAAAAATGTCTTTGAAATGTCTTTCGATAAAATTTTGAAACATTTTTTAAATACGCGTATTATCTGAAACACTATCCCGTGTCGGACAACAGTATATATATATATATATATATATAGCAGATTTTTTTCTGAAGCATCTCAAGTTCTAGCGATCGCGTCACTTTGTAAGCGGCATTATCACAAAGGAGGTTTCGCTCTTGCAATCAGGCCACTTTCAGGGTAGCGCTTTGCGATATATGTGTATCAAGGCGCTCTTGTTCAATGATCCCTTTTCGATGTAGCGCTATACGTACTCTTTGTACGGGACGGTGTCACGCGTCGGTAATAGAGAAACATTGAATCGCTTCCTTTCTAATACCTTTGTTCACCTACACAAAGGAGAAAGCTTGGAAACGCAAAACAAATATGCCTGGCGAAGTCATTTAGTAACTGGAAAACGTACAAAACATTTACTACGATCTCTGGATTCCGTTCACGAATTTGCAGCGACGATCGACGAGTGATGCGATACAATCCGCGTTGGTAATCGAAAAGTACGAAAAGCCAATTGTACCCCTTAACTATATCGCCGTATCGCGATTTCTTTCTTTCCTTTCATCGAGACGTGAGAAAGCGAGCGATAAAAGAAAAGTTACTTATAGTGCTTCCTACAAATAGCAAAGTTCTATTTCGCGTTGGATAAAACGTAGGATTAGGAAAAGCGGGGTGGGTTGCGTTATTATATAGCGAGGGAGTAGGAATATCCCTCCGGAGAGATCGATAGAAGTTCCAGTTGATCGAGCATTTTGCATCGACTGTCGCGGCAGGCAACACCGATGCATCGATGCTGAATCCGTTGTTGCTGGGCTTGGCAGCCATGGCGACCCTTTTGGCCCTGGCCGTTGCTGGAATCCTAGCGGCGCTCTACCGGAAGCACTCCACCGGCCGACCCGGAAGTCCAAAGCACGCTCCCATCGTATGCGAGCCGCCTAATGCAGGTGCAACCACCCCGGTGCACCCTCAGACCAAGCAGGCGGTCGATGACATCGATCCGGACATCATACCCAACGAGTATGGTAAGTTCGTCAGTATTTCGTTGGAAAAGGCTTGCATCAATTGTGTATATTGGCCCTTTTTTATGTCGACAAGGAACTAGCTGGGCCATCACATATGCATTATTTTTTAATTTTGCCGAAATCACCGGGAGAAAATAGAAGCGAAATGATAATAATAATAATAATATTTGATATTGATGTTTTTTTCGAAGAAATATAAATTACTGAAAAGTAAAGTTATCTATATATACGAAAAATTTCAATAAGTTTCCAAATTTTAATCATGAGATAAAATATTAACTATACTTTTCATTTTTAAAACACATGATATAGATGAATGTAAACATATCTTATTTTAATTGTTCGTTTCTACAGTACTATATTTTTAAATAAACAAAATAAATATTTCAATGTTTTCTTGAGAGAGAGAGAGAGAGAGAGAGAGAGAGAGAGAGAGAGAGAGAGAGAAGAGAGATAAAAAAAATAAATAACTCAAAATAAATATTTCTA